AAGAGGAATAGAACCGCCATGAAAAGAAATCCTGAACTGAACTTTTCCAAACCCAAGCACCTGGACTGCACTGGGTCTTTGAGAAAACTCACCTATTGGCCACACTGAGGTTAGAAACTAAGGCTCTTCTCTGTTATGTGGGGCAGGACTGACGGATCACCACAGGCAGTTAGTAGTCACAGCTGATTTCTAATCACCTACAAGGAGAAAAGTCCAAAGTGTGCCTCAGTAATGACTGCCAACCTGGCTAACTCCATGGCTGCAAACAAACAGGAGCTGGGCTCGTCTGAATCCAAACAGCACTGACAAAATTTGCTGGGCAGACAGCTAAGCTGTGAGGAGGAGCTGTGGGAAGCATCGTCCTTGCTCGGGAGCTGCAGCTGAGCTCAGCCCTGGCACTGGTCCTGGCCAGAGCTAGGTTGCAGCCACACTGCGCCCGGCTCTGTGCCTTGCTCATGCAGACCCTGACCCGTGGACTGACTTTGCGGCTTGAGCTCAGACCTGTCTCATCACTACAGACCTGCCTGGCGATCGCTGGGCTTTGGCTGACCCTGGTACCATCACTGGGCCTGCACAGCCCCCCCCTTGTTTGCGTGCAGTGGGATTGTGCACCATCGAGGAGGTTTCTGGCCTGCCTGCCCTCATGGGGCAGCCATTCTGCTGCTCTCTCTCTTCATCCTGAGGGCCGAGAAGAGCATCTCAGGCTCGGGAGCAGTCAGGGTGCTGGGGAAAGGTGTCTGGCAACACTAGCCTGCTGGAAAGCCAGCATTGCTGCTGGCTGGTCTGGAGGGCTGTGACCCCGGGCTGTCAGTACATCGGGGCCCTCCTCACTGCCACCAGCTCCACAGTCACCGGAGAGGTGTCACAGCCACAGCAGGGCCAGCTGGCCCTGGATGAGGAGCTGCCGCAAGCCTGCCAGGCTGCGTGGGGCAATGCTGTTGTGTACAGGGCAGCTGGCCCTGGGGTGGGAGCTGAGGTGGATGCCAGCCCCCCCAGGGATGTATCACACCGCGCCAGGCGCCTGTAGCCCTCCAGGCTGCCGTGGGCACAACCCTTGTCCCTGCTACTGCAGAGGACCTAGCGCAGCAGCGAATGCTGTGGCCTGCCAAGACAGACACTTTGCACACACTTAGAGAGAGCCAGCGGCCAAAGTGATGCCCGTCGAACAAAGCAAGTGGCGCGGGGAAGTGGTGGCCACGCTCAGAGGCCAGCCAGCAAGCCCCCGGCAGAGCTGCCTGCGGTACCAGGGGTCCTGCGGCCCAGGCCAGGCATTCACCCTCAACGCCACACATCTCCCCGCAGCACAGGGAAACACGTCCTGTGACAAGAAAAGGTTGTGCGGGAGGTGATTCGGCACCTCTAAAGAAATATGTCCCCTCCCCACCAGCTCGGTCTTTAGCCCTTCAAGGTCTGGACGCTCAGCATCCCTTGTGGCCCTGGTGGTCCCAGCATGCTGGGCTTCAGGTTGGGCTCCAGGTGGGCCCCAGTACACCCCTACCTCCCGCTGGTGGCCGTGGCGCTGGAGCATGGGGCTTTGTTGAAGCGAGGCCGTGTTGGGGCCCCAGGTAATGAGCAGGGCCACTGGGGGGCTTTCACCCCCTCGTATCTGTGGGGTGATGAGAGCGCGGGGCCACTGCTGCCCAGCTTAGTGCACAGCAGTGGTGGGCCAGGCTGCGTCTGTGCTGCTGCCGCCCTGTGCCGAAAACTGGGGCGTCCTGAGTCCGAGCTGATGGGGAATACTGCAGCGAGCGCAAAAACGCAGCTGTTTTGTAGATATTAAGGTTTGGGGTAGGAGGCAGTTATCCTTGGGCAGAGAGCTTCCACTCGCCTCTGAGGCTTGCTTTCCTCCTGCAAGGGATTCAGCTCTGCCTGCGCTTCGCGCTGCTAGCAAAGCCCTTCAGCCCGCCGGCGCCCTCGGCCCTGGCAGCAGCAGGAGCTGAGCCTTTGGCTGGCAGCGTGGCTTCCCCTGAAACGAGGCTGCGCTGACGAGTTTGCTCTGTGTTTGTACCTGCTGTTCTGTTCGACCCCTGCTAATACCAGCTGGACTCATCAGCCAGCTCTGACTGCGGGTAGTGAGGGCAAAGAGAAGTCCTCGTGTGTTTGAAGGGAACAAGAAGCTGCGAAGAGGAAGGAGTCTGTGTTCGTGCCCCCATGAGCTAAAGGTTGCTGTATTAGCTCGACCCTATCTGGACTTCGCAGGATCCCCACAGGTATTCAAGGCGCAAACCCCTGGGGACTGCGGTGGCAATGGCTTTACTGCTCACACAACTGCTTTGACGCTGTCCATGTTGTTGAGTTCAGCTCATACGCTGTGCATGTTATCTCCAGTCTCAGCATTTCCCACGGGATTTGCTCTGTGCCCTCGGGACCGCTGTGCTGCTCCGAGGCAGGAGGCTGGTGCGTGGCAGCAGGGAGCTGCTGCTGGAAGTCCCAGTTGAAGTGGATGGTCAAACTAGGCAGCTCTCCTGACCCGTGCCCATCCCCGCAGGGGTGGCCGCATTGGCGAGGGCTCCTTCTCCCACCCTCAGGCACTTTGTGGGCTGCGATGGGACCGTCTGCCTCTCTGCCCCTCAAACGAGGGTTGTCCCCAGGCAAGGCGCCTGGAGCCTTTAATTTACCTACAATATGCCCTGTCTTTAGAGAGACTGAGTTTATTTTCCTGTGGCAGCTTTGAGGTAGCTGGGAGGTGTTTGAGGGGAGGCCAAGGTCTGCATCTGCCTGCAGCTTTCCCTCTTCCCCCCCTCCAACAGACAGCACTGCGCACTTGGCACATCCTGGTGGTCTCGGCAAAGACGCCCAAATCCTACGCAAATCAGCAAGCCCAGCGGAGCCAGCTCTTTGCAGCAGCCTTCGCTGTCGCAACCCCTCCCTTAGCAGCCCTTTCATCTGCTGTTTTTGTCTTTTGCACAGATGCAGTACCCAGAGATTAAGCTGCAGATTAAGGTTTTACTGAATCCTGAAATGGGTTCCAGTTCCCAGGCCCGGCAGCACTAACGTGCAGCCAAATCTCTTCAGTCAGCTTGCTGGGCTGGAGGAGGGAGAGGCATTTCCCACCTCGTTCTCCCCATGTGCCTGAGAGATGGAGCCTAAATATTTACCCGGGCTTATTTGCTGAGAGGCAGCCACTAGGTAAGAGCAGTTTTGTCCTGGGAAGGAAAGCTGGGGAGAGAAGGGAGGAGTTGAGGCTGTTTCACAAGTGTTCACCCTCTGTTCCCAGAGAGACAAGGAAGCTGTGGCTGACCCATCTTTACTCAGGGTCCCACCGGCGTGCCCGTACAGTGCGTCTCCAGGCCAGGAGAGCAGTGCCTGCCTGTGAGGACCAGCACGCGCTGCCCCGCAGGTCCTGCCGGGCTTATGGGCATCCCTGGAGCCTCGCCACGCTGGCGCTGTGCAAGTGGAAAGACGTGCAGCTGCTCCTGGAACAGTGGCAAAAGGATTCAGGATCCTGCATCATGAAAACCAGTGCTCTCAGCCTCTTTTGGAGCATCTCTCTGCTGTAACGCCTGCGTGATGGGGGAGCAACATGTGTTCTTGTGTGCTTCCCTGGCAGGGATGGGCCTTCGCTATGCTTCTGAGGAGCCTGGCGCCGTGTGGGCACTGCCAGAAAGCCTCCGTGGTAGCAACAAGGGACCTGGCTCTCTCCTGAGCAGCCTCCTTCAGCAGGGGGCCTGAGGGGCTGAGCAGCAGCAGCCCAGCACAGAAGGAGCCCAGCTTTGTGGCTGCGCCGCTTTTCCTGGCGAGCGTAGCTGCAGGCAGAACCAAGGAGTCAGCTGTCTCAGAGCTGCACTGAGCAGACCCACTGCACGTACCCTGCCCCTGCCTCTGCCTGCCCAATCCAGTCTGAGTGGCCAGAGAGGGCCTGGCTTGCTGGGCTTACTGGGGGTACCTCACCCCCTGGCGCTGAGCGGCTGAGCAGCCCAACATATGCTGTCTTGCACCAAAGACCCAGTGCAAGCGGCCTTACCATTGCACCCTGCCCCACTCTCAGAGCTCCTGCTAGGACGTGTCCATGGGGTCAAAGCCCTCACCCTATACACAGCTGTCTTCTTTGTCCTCCGGGTCCTCATCCTTCTCCAAATGCCGCATTCCCAAACTGGTGCCCACAGGTATGTGTCCCCACATGGCCACCACTGTGGAGATACTGGCCTAGCACAGCTAGCAGTGTTGGATCCTTTTGAGGAGATGGCTGCAGAGGAGAAACATGTCTGCAGGAAACCAGGCTGGCCCCAGGCTGCTGAACATGGCTGCGGCTCTCAAGCCTGGGGAACAGAGTTGCAGGCCAAGCAAAGCCACGCACCGATGTCCCCGGGGCAAAGCAGGACTGGCTTTTCTTAGCAGCAGCCGCACAAGTGGCCAGAGATGTTTGGGAAAAAGGAGGGTGACAAACAACATGACAATCAGTTCAGATAAAATAAGTGAACTTTTCAGCAGGTGTCTCTGCTCACAGTCCAGCCCTGGTGAGCATACACCAAATTTGGCTCCTTTAGCTGCAGATTGGAATCTGTTGCATCCCATCCCCTCAAACAGCCAGGCCAGAGCAGCAGGCAGGATTGCTAAGGCTGCTAGACGAAGCCACAAAGCATGGCCAGGGCATCTGGCATGTAATTCAGGGCTGCAGAGACACTTCTATGGAGGGCCCGGGCGGAATGAGGGCAGAGAGGGCATCAGCAGGTGCTGCAGCCAACTCTCAGCACAGAATTACCAGAAGCAGCAAACGCAGAGAGATTTCTCCTGCTGTAGGGCTGTCATATGTTACGCTTCCCCAGGCCTGACCTCTTTTTCCACTTCCAAATTGCGAGTGGGTGGAAAGTGAGGATGTTAGTGTGTAACTGCACAGTGGGTCCGTCAGGCTGGAGGGCACCTGGAAGTCCTGCACGTGTTCCTTGTGCCTGCACAAGCCGTCGGATTAGACAGGCCATGCAGCTTGGATGTTTTTGGGACCGTGCACACACACACATACACATATGTAGGTGGGATTTCCAAAGTCCTATCAAGCATCACACGAAGTCTGAGGGCAGGCTGTGCATTTTGCCAAAGATTTGGAACAGTACAATGTCCCCCAGGGGAAAATGCCTTGTACAATGCAGGTCAAAGCAGATTAAAAAGGCCCAGATGAATATGTATGTATGAGAAATACATAACATAAGGGACAAAGCAAATGGGAAGCGGGTCACAGGACTGTGGTTTGAGTCAGCTGTTTCCAGCAAACACAATCCTTGGGAGTTTATGGTGGTTATAGTTCATGCAGCAGGTTGGAGAACACTGCCATGAGAGTCATTTGCTGTGAAAGACTGCAGCTTGGAGAAGGAGGGCCAAAGCTCTGAGGCTGCAGCGGGGGCTACACAGCACTGGTGCCTCAGAGGCAGTCACTTCGCAGAGGCTGCGGCAGATCTGACTCACTTATCTGGAGGCTGAGGTCTGTTGAGCAGAGGGTCCCATCACACACAGTGTACTCCTCCTGACGCTGCTGCTGGAGGTGCCGGAGAATCTCTCTGGACAAGAAGTGTGTCTCAGCTTCTCCTGACTCTGCAAGAGGAGACCAAACCCACCTTTACTGGTTTGGCCTGAGGAAGGGGTCTGGGCAGGGAGCACAACCTCTGGGGGGATTCCTCAACATACGCAGAATTGCCTGAGAAGTAAAAATATGATTCTTGCTCCCCCCCCCCCCCCCCGCCCGGCTCGCCACACCAGAACAAAGAAAATAAACATGAAATGCAGGAAAAGGGGTAAAATACAGGCACTGTGTATTGGATTCCCAGCAGTGCTTCTTGTGATGGGAACTACCTCGCTGTGTGGAAATGCTTCCTCCTATCAGGGAGTGCACTGAATTTGCTTTGAAAAACAACAAGATTCATTTCAGTGAGACTCCAAAGAGCTGTTTTCAAGCCCTGCTGCCCTGGCAGAGGTGGAAAGATGGAAAAGGAAAGGAAGAAGGGAGGCAAGCCACCAAGCCACAGCATATACATCCCTCCCACTGCCAGGGAGGGCTTTACAGTCCCAGCCATTTCTCCCAGAAAACTCAATGTTGATGGGAGTCAGTCCTTCCCCTGAAAGGCTGTTTTTGTATTTAGCGTTTAGCAGAGCACTCCTGCTGCCCCAGCAGTAAGGCCTGCTTGTCTCAGGTGCCCCTGGAGGACTTCAACAAGGACCAGCTCTGTCTGCATCCTCCTTTCTCCTTTGAGACTCCTAGCAAGAAGTCCTTCTGTGTTGGGAGACAGCCCCTTCCCCTGCCGAGGCAGAGGAAGCCACTCATGCCTGTGGGAGCAGGGATATCAGCCAAGTGCTGCACGGCTCCTGCATATTTCCCCTCATTTGCCCCAATCCTAGGTCATTCAAGAGGCCCTGAGAGTGCAGTCACTGTGCTGGATGCCCCTACCCTCCTTCCCCTGCTTGCTTACCCTCATACACAATGAGCCGGTAGGTGCCTGCACACTCCTTGGCGCTTTGCAGGATCTCCTCCAAGGTCCTGTAGAAAAGCTTGGCCTGCTCTATGCGGTCCTCTCGGCTGAAAGCGGCACATTCGTCCTGGGACATGGCGTAGAGGGACTGCAGCGGGGTGGCGTACTCCACCACACAGAACCTGAACTGCAGGGATGCAAGAAAAAGGCAGGGGAGAAGCAGGGCTGAGCCCCCAGCAAAGGGTCTCCTAGGGAACCCTGGTCCTGGGCAGAGCTCTTAAGGCGAGGGCACCCCTGGCTCCCCAGGGAGCCCCTTCACCCTCCTAGCATCCTGCAGAAGCTCCTTGGCCTGCTCTGCAAGGGTGCTGTGTGCTGGGGTTGCCAGGACAGCGATAGCAGAGCTGGCCCCGGGGTGCGCTGTGCCCAGCGGGGCAAGGAGGGCTGGCATGGCAGGGAGCCAGCTCCTGCCATGCCCTCTGCGTCAGACAGGCTCAGAGAGCTGCCTTCGTCCCGCAGGGCCCCAGGGCACAGTGACCAGCTTTGCTTGTTCTCCAGAAGATGAACCCAAGCCATGATTCTGGAGGTGATTCTCCCCATGGAGTTTGGATCCCCATGGAGACCTCCCTTCTCGGGCTTGTTTGTGATCACATCTTCTTGGTAGCTCTTTTGCTAGAGAAAGGGAAGCCTGAGAATCCTATGGAGAGTAGGAAAACAGAGAAGAGGATGAACACTGGCAAGATAGAAGATAGAAGGAGGCTAGCCCCCTCCCCCCAAAAATTTGAGGAGAGATTTGTTAAAGCCATAAAAATTCCTCATCAAATGAGTGTCAAATACATCAGAGGCAGAAGCTTGCTAGGGAATTAAGAGGGCTGATGGATGATCGAAGATTACACAGACCTTTTGAAAAGGCAGAGAAGCAACATTAATGCTTTGCCTTTGCGTTTGCTATGGGGCGGCAGCACAGGCAGACTCCTGCAGAGACCAGCCCTGAGGAACTGTCTCAGCCCAAAGCAGAGATGTCGGAAGGTGTTAGCTGATTGCTGGGCCCTGCTTGTGTCCTTCTGGTGAGAAGAGCTGAGAATAGACTACCAGAGAGTCTGATCCACTAATCAGCTCAGAGGCTCGCAGGTGGGACGTCAGCTTCCAGAAAGAGCCCTGGGGTGGAGAAGGTTACCAGTAAGTCTGGTACTTATACTGGGTAAATTGGCAGAAGCGTATTAAAAAGGAGAGGCAGAGGATCCCTGGGTAAATGCAGAGTAGCGGGAAGTGCTAATGGCCTTGGAGGGCAGTCACCCAGTGACGAGGAAGCTGGAGTAGGTCCAGAGGATGGGAGCTGGCCATGCTGCATATTCATGAATGACCCGCCAGCGAGCAGAGGTGACTGATTTTATTGACGACACAGTGGGTCAGGACAGGTCTGGGCTTCAGAGCTGCTGGAGCTTGCTTGGTACCAAGTGACTCAGCAGGGATTGTCCGATGAAACATGGCATGAGCCGGTGCAGTGTAATGGGAAAAAACCAGTGGTGCCTGTACTTCACCAGGAAGAGAGACTGCCCTGCAGAAAGAGGCCCTGGAGTCTCTGCAGCCAGGGCTTTCAAAGCAGCAGCTCAAAGCTACCATCAAAAGGCAGATTAGGAGGCAAGAAGCAATGCTATGCCACTGCCTCCATCTGTGGCAGTGCCTCAGATGGCATGCACCTCTGGCCCCCGCCTCCAAGGGCGCAGGGGGCTGAGGCGAATTTGCCTGGAGTCATGGAAGGGGATGAATGCAAAGGGGTGCGGAGTAATTCAGGGCTCATCAGCTTGGAAAAGAAATGACTAGGGGAATGGGACAGTGTCCAATTAAATAATGAACCACATGGCCATTTTAAGCACCTTTTCACAACAAAAGCAAATACTCATTCACTCCATAGCAAGTGACACCGTGGACCCCACATCTACTTTTTGGGTAGTTTTCTGCTGTTTTCCTGAATTAAAACAACTCATGGAGGGGTTAAGTGAGCCCAACTCCCCTGCAAAGGTTGAGCCTGGGAGAATGCAGCCAGGAGGAAGGGGTGGGGATGGCAGGCATGGATAGGACCTCCCCATCTTGTGGAAGACTGCTGGAAGCTGAGACCATCTAATAGGAGAGGGGTCGCTGTCCTGTCCTTCTGGCTACTGCTGGGACAGGATTTGAGGCCAGAAAGACCTTTGGGCTGATGCATGCTGACTGCTCCCCTGACATTTCGCTCAGCATACCTTGTCTTCATCCTTGATTTTGTAGAGGGTGTTTCTGTAGACTCTTTTTTTTGTGCCAGCTCGGGTCAGGGTTGTTTCAGGGAGGTCCATCGCATACTGGATGTTGCTGTCAGCTTTCTCCAGGTCGTCGCAGATGTTACAGCTCAGAGGGACCAAGATGTGGAGCTTCCAGGTCTCCTTGTGCGCCAGCATGTTGGGGTTGGTTCTGCCAATATTCTCCATTGACTCTTTCAGGCCTGGTGGAAGAGAGTGTTGGGCAGAGGTGCCTGGGGTGAGAACAGCTGCTCTCTAGTTTGCTCCCCGTTTCGCTGCTAACACTGTAAAAGTGGGAGGATTGTTATTAGGAGCTATTTCTATCTGTAGGAGTGATAATGCAGAGAAACAGCTACGTACGTGGCAGAACTATTTTTAGGTACCCAACATAATAAGACCAGGCGAGCCCATGAGCTACATTCTGCTTGGAGCGCTCAGACATCTCGGATATTTCCACAGCTGAGGGCTTCTGTGGAGGGAAGGAAAGAAACACTGATGATAAAAGTGGTTGCTTGGGCTCTTCTGCAACAGTCGGCTTCCCTACAGGGACCAGAGAGCAGCTGCCATCTCCAAAGAGGGAGCAATCCTGCTGCTCCCATCCATCGCCATGTTGAGAGGCCGAGAGCCCTCACCAGCCCATGCAGCCCGGCTGACCCGCTGTGGCAGCGCAGTGCCCACCTCTTCCCCGCAGATGAGGAAGCTGATGCTGGGGTGAGCCTTCTGGCTATACCATCAGTACTAATCATGCAGGCTAGTGCAACTTGCACATCTGCCCAGTGCTCCCAGCATGCAGGAGGAGATATCAAAGCACCTACTGGAAAGGCTGAGAATGGGATTTCCAGGGCCACCAATGGCTCCTGTCAGCTTTATGTGTTCATTTAATGGGAAGTGGGTGTTCAAAGCCCACAGGTACCAGAAGGCTTCCCTCCCCGAAGCACCTTCCTGTAGCCTGAGTGATCTCTGTCCCTGCTCCGGCTGGGGTAGGGCGGAGCCTTCTGCGAGGCTGCAGATGTGCTGTGCAGCGCAAGCGCGTGGCTCTGCTGCGTGCCTACTAATTAACCCTTTGGAGACTATGCAAGCTACCCTTTCCCCCCCCAAAAGCGCTAGCTTGATTGACAGGTTTAAAAATACCCATGTTTTCGTCTCAGTCAGGCTCTGCCTGTGCCGGGGCTGGTGCCAATGCCTCAGGGTGGCTGTGCTCATTAAAAGTCTGTCTGACTGCAGGTTACCTGGCCCTCCTGCTGGGATGCACAGCAATATCGGGCCGAGGAGATCAGCTATTCAGAGTTGAGCTAATCAGAGGGTTTCTCCTGCAGCAGGGCCCTGAGCTGGCTGGGCTGGAGCAGCAGTGCTGCGTGCAGGTGGGCTATACGTGTCACCTGCCAGCTGAGGGGCCAGGCAGAGCTGGGCTGTGTGCCCCTGCGGCCATTACTGCTGTGCCTTCTGGCCATCGTCAGCCCAGGGATCGCCCACATGCCTCTGTCCCCCTGTGACTCCCGCTCCCTGTGAAGCTCGGCCAGGCTGGAGGTCATTGGTGCCTTACATGGAGACCGAGGGCGAGGATCAGGAGCTGGCAGAGGCAGGCCAGGCCGAGGTGGAGGCCGAGCGGCTGCTCATCTCCATCGAGAAGAGCCACATAGGCTGAGCCGCAGACGAGCAGCAGGGTCACGTGCCAGCGCAGGTGGAGGCAGGCACTTAGGGCCCTCCGGAAGCTGCCGCGGTGCCTGGGTGGGAGAGGGACACAGGTAACAGGCTGGCACCCTCCTGCCTGCCCTTCCCGGACCCTGCGGCGTGCTGCCCCTTGTGCTGGCACTGGGGCATGCTGGCCGGGGCATGCTCCCACCTCCTTGCCAATGCTGCCCATTTCCTTGAGCACTATGGAGCCCCATGGGCAGGCGGCCTCTGCTCGGAGCACCCTGGGGTGCGCTCAGCAGGGACAGGGCATGGCTCTCATGCAGCACCTGCTGGTCTCAGAGAGGAGCAGATGCAATGTTGCCCTGGACAGCAAAAGACTCATTATCTCCAAAAACCCCGTGCCCTCCAGCGCCTGAAGTTGGGAGAAAGCTAGGAGCTGAGATTTATTCCCCAGGCATTACAGGTAAAGAGGAAGCGGGGGAGCTATAGTCTAGAAGGGAGGGAGAGGTCCATAGACACAGGGGGGAACTGGGCAGGCAGGAGAGGGGGAGAGGAGGAGGAAGAGGAAGAGCTGACAGATCAGTGAGGCTGATGGAGAGCGGCATGTGCTGCTGGAGCATGGCAGAGCGTTGGCACGAAGGGCACGCATGGGGAGAGAGCAGGAGCAGGTCTCCACAGGACACCCAGCAGGCTGCTATGGTCTTGGCTCCAGGGGGGCTCTACAAGCCAGGAGACAGCCCCTCTACCATGCTAGCTCACCTGGTCTCAAGGTGGAAGATCTCCTCTACCAGGTAGCAGATGCCTTTGAGCAGCGCCCCTATCTGGAGGGCCACAAAGTGGGAGGTGAAGCTGCGGGCAATGTGCACCACGGGCTCCCCGGCGAGGTACAGCGCTGCAGCGCACAGGGCCAGGAGGACGTATGCAGCGTGCTGCGCTCGCCCCTCCCTGGCCTTGGGGATTAGTGGGGTAGCAGGGTTGCTTGGTGTCCCCGATTCGTGAGCCATCTGCAGCAGAGAGGGGTGTTAGCAGTGCCCGTTATGGCCCAGTACCCACAACAGCACCTTGGCGAGTGTGCACAGTCAGAGATTACTGAGCACCTCAAAGCATGCAACAAAGCTATCCTTTCCCTTGGCTCACTCTTGAAATGCAGCCACTTCCAGGGAAGTTCCCACAGGTCCTGAGAGCACTGAGCAGGGCCACCTGGGGGCTGCAAACACAGCGCTGTCCCAGGGCCCTACCCCAGCCCTGCACTCACAGATTGGCCCCCAGCACCACCAAAGCTATCCCACTTTGATGGCATCAGCAGAGAGAGCACCAGAGGTGCCCAACACTCCTCTGGGCCACTGGCCCCCAACACCTGCCCCCTCCATGCCCAAACAGGCCAGCAAGTGAGACCCTGGCTGGCCACCTCATTCCCAAATCAGTGCCAGCCCCACGCGAGCTCTTGCCGCTCTGTACCTGTGTGGCCGTTGCTCCTCTTGCAGCACTCACCTGCGCAATTAACAGCCGCAACAACGGATGCTGTCTGGGTTTCTTGTGCTGCAGTTAATGAGCTCCGTGCCTCAGCCTGGACAACTGCAGCCTCTAGCTCTTTTCAAAGGCTGCCACTGCGGCCAGAGCTTCTGTGCTGCGCGGGTTTCTGGCGCCAAGGGTGGAGCTGCACCGTTGACAGGAACCAAGCACAGAGTAAAATGAAAATGAAAGGAGCTACCCACAGCTGCAGGCAGCGCGGAAAGCACTGCAGTCCTCCTACACAGAGCCCTCATGAGATCTCTGGGCCTGCAGGAAGTGCGAGCACTAGGCAGGGCAGGGGGACTTACCAGGTTTCGACATCCAAGAGTTTACCCCTCCAAAAAGCCTCAACATTCCAGTCAGCTAATGGGGCTAAACCAAGCTGGAATGAAGAAGGAAACCAGAAACCTTGGTTTTGTTAAGCACAGTAGGTTTCCAGGGGTTAGCTGGACCTCAGCAGAAGCAGATTCCTTGAAGCAAAGAGCCTGGAAGGAGGGGGATGCGCAGCATCCCAGACCTGCACCCCTCCATGGAGCTTCAGGAGACAGCAATGCACAAGGCAGCGCACTTGGGCACTAGCAGCACAGCAGAGATTTGTTGTGGCTGGGCCCTTGCTGGGGAGGCTGCTGCCTCTGCCTGCTTCACCATCCTGCTCAGCTGCTGGCTTCCTGGGAGGGCTGGAGAGGCATTGCCTGGGTGGGTAGTGGTGACCCTGGGAGAGCCAAAGCTCAGCTGGAGTGGGAACCAGTGGGAACCTGCAAGGACAGTAAACAACAAGGAGAGCTCCTAGAAATACCTTGGCAGCAGAAGAAAAGCTAAGGGACACGTAGGCTGCTGCTCACTGGGGCAGGGGTCCTAGTAACCATGGGCCCTGAAAAGCCTGAGATACTCAAGGCCTCCATTGGCTCAGTTTTTACTACTGAGGTTCGCCCTCAAGCCTCCCAGTTTCCTGGTCCTAGCAGCAGAGTCTGCAAGAGTAAGGCATTACTCACACAAGAGGAAGGATGACTTCGGGTGCACCTGAGCTAGCTGGACACATACAAGTCCATTGGACCAGGTGGGATGCACCCAAGGGTACCGAGGGAGCTGGATGATGCCACTGCGAGGCTGCTCTCCCATCTCTCTGGAAGATCATAGCAATCCTGATGGATGGGAAAAGGCAAATGTCACACTCAACTTCAAGCAGGGCAAAAAGGAGGACCTCGTGAACTACAGCCTTCTCAGCCTCACCGCAGTCCCGAGGAAGGTAATGAAGCAAATCCTTCTGGCCGCCAGTTCAAGCACCTGAAGGACGAAAAGGGCATTGGGAACAGCCAGCAGGGATTTGCAGAGGGCAAATTGTGCCTAACCAACCCGACTGCCCTGTGCAACAAGAGAGATGGCCATGTGGCTAAGGAGAGAACAGTGGCTTGCCTTGATTTCAGCCTTCAGCATGGTCTCCCATATTCACCCTACAGCCAGACTGAGGAATACAGACTAGGTAAGTCCAGAATGTGCTCTGGGTGAGATTTCTTTCTGTCCAGGAATGCCCATGGAAGCAGGGAGACTGGCAAGGGGCCCTTGCAGACCCAGAGTCCCGCAAGCACCTTACCAAGAGGTCTAAGCAGGCTGAGGCAGGCACACAGCACAAGGTCTTGATTCAGACATGCCTACAGGTCACATTTAATTCAAGCATTTGCAAAACAAAAGGGTGGGAAGAAGGAATAAATGCACTGAGAGACTGATGTTGTGCCACCTGTGCTTGTCTCAAGGTCAAGGAGTCTTATCTTAGTACCTTAGAAAACCCAACAAACCTGCTTTACAGGACATTTGTCCTGGGGGGAGGACAAGTCTGGGGAGGGCTTGCTGGTCTAGCCAAAGTCCAGGTTTCCTCTTCAACATAAAGGCTGGCTAAAATAGCAAGCAAATGACTTCTTCCTCTGGCACTGAGCTGTCCCTGCCTGCTGGGGCTGTGCAGGCCACCTCTGCCTGTCTCGCTGACCATCTCTGGCTGGCTCTTGGCGGGGTTCTGGTGCAGGCTGCCTGTCAGGCCCTCACCAGAGCAGACTGCCCTGCACCGCACCTCCTCCCTTCTAATGGGGCCTCTTAGCAGCTGGATTGTGCTCCTGTGCGTAGAGTTTGGACACCTTCTTTTAGTTCTACCTTCACAAATGCACGCATTATTTCTGTCCCTTTCACTTCTGCTTTGAGCCAGCCTTTGCCCCATAGCCCCAGACCCGCTGCTTACAGAGCTGTTGCCAGGGTACTAATTACAATAAAAGAGCAGCATGAAAGAACCATTTTGACTGCAGGCTACAGAAGCTGACAAGACTAGAGAGAGATGAGGAGCAGAGCAAAGAGCAATTGCATCCACAACTCACAGGCCATTGCAGATGTGCACAAAAGCTGGGTTAGCACCTTCTGCCCTGGCTCCTGAGAATTGTCCTGTGCAGGCAGATACCTCTGAGATAGTGGGGGGAGGATGCTGCTTGCAGCATAAAGGACTCAGCTTGGTGTTTTTCCTGGGGATTCAGGCCTCAAAACAGAGTTTGTATGCATTCACAGCCCCCCTCCCAGCCAGTACTCCTAGGGTCTCACCCCACTTTGCATCACCTTCACCCCATTTTGCTCCTGAACAAGTTCACAGAATCACAGAATGGCCAAGGTTGGAAGGGACCTCTGGAGATCATCTAGTCCAACCTGCCCTGCTCAAGCAGGGTCACATAGAGCACATTGCACAGGATCGTGTCCAGGCGGCTTTTGAAATCTCCAGGGAATCACATAATCACAGAATCACAGAATCGTTTAGGTTGGAAGGGACCTCTGGAGATCATCTAGTCCAACCTGCCCTGCTCAAGCAGGGTCACATAGAGCACATTGCACAGGATCGTGTCCAGGCGGCTTTTGAAATCTCCAGGGAATCACATAATCACAGAATCACAGAATCGTTTAGGTTGGAAGGGACCTCTGGAGATCATCTAGTCCAACCTCCCTGCTCAAGCAGGGTCACCTAGAGCATATTGCCCAGGATCACATCCAGACGGCTTTTGAATATCTCCAGCGAAGGAGACTCCACCACCCCTCTGGGCAACCTGTTCCAATGCTCTGTCACCCTCACAGTGAAGAAGTTTTTTC